TCCTTCTGGAACACCAGCGTGGACTCCGACCATGCACTTGTACGCTGCTACTTTTCATTGCGCTCTTCAGGGGTACGCAAATCGCGCACACCTCGCTTAGCCATTGAGAAGCTAGTTGATCCAGAAACCAAACGAAACTATCAGAAACAGCTCCTCGAATGCCTGCCGGACGGTACGGTGTCGGATATAAACGGCCACTGGGAAAAAATATCCAACGCGTTGCTCAAAGCAGGAGCGTCTGCTTGCGGTACAACCCAGCCAACCTCATCCAAGCACTGGATCTCTGATAGAACCGTGTCTTTTGTGAAGACCCAGCGACAGATCCCACCTGGTCGCCACCACAACTCCACCCGGCGTATCATTCGACGCCGGTTGAAACTGAGTGTCCGCGCAGACCGAGAAGCTTGGTGGACCCGAAAGGTCGAAGAAATGAAGGATGCGAAGAATGCTGGAATGTGCGCAAATTGTTCCACTTGATTCGTTCGACTGGTCCTCGGAAACCTCGTGTCAGTGAAACAGTCAGGGACCAAAATGGCTCCCTGATATGCAGCAAAGCAGAACGTTTGGACCGCTGGATACAGTACTTCGAACAGCAATTCAGCTGGCCACCTGCTACCCCCAATCAAGAAATCCGGCCTTCAACAGGAAGGTGGACCGTAAATATGGAGCCGCCTTCAGTCTCAGAAGTGTCCGAATGCATTTCTCTACTCAAGCGTCATCGTGCTGCTGGTCCTGACGACCTTCCACCTGCTCTTTTCAAGGATGGCGGTGGATTCCTCAATCAGTGCCTGTCTAGCCTATTTGGGTTTATCTGGGAGAAGGAGACCGTCCCAGACAACTGGGGTGAATCGATAGTGGTACCCATTTTCAAAGAGGGTACTCGCAGTGAATGTAGCAACCACAGAGGTGTTAGCTTGACGTCTGTTGTGACAAGGCTTCTGGCGTCACTGATTCTTCGTCGTCTTATGGCGGCACGCGAAGTCTTGACTCGTGAGAATCGAGCGGGATTTCGACCGGGCAGAGGCTGCGTTGACCACATCTTCACACTCCGTCAGGTGTTAGAGCAACGCCACATGTACAGACGCTCCACAATCCTGGTATTCCTTGACTTCCAGGGTGCCTTCGATTCTGTTGATCGATCAGTTCTGTTAACTACACTTGCTCGACAGGGTATGCCCCAGAAGTTTGTAAACATAATCCTATCTTTACAAATAAATGCTTCTCCAAGTGAAACTAATTTTTTGTCAAGCACTGCGTGAACGTCATGTAATTCGCCGTAAGCGGTGGTTCAAAGTGAACCGTATGTAAACATAATCCTATCTTTATATTCAAATGCTTCTCCAAGTGAAACTAATTTTTTGTCAAGCACTGCGTGAACGTCATGTAATTCGCCGTAAGCGGTGGTTCAAAAAAAGTGAACCGTATTTCAAAACGAGGAAAACTTTCACAAGCACCATAGTTTATGTGTGACAGATAAAAAGCTTCAAATTAATGAGGTTGGACTCGGCAATCAGTGATGGAGTTTACCATACAAGAATAAGCCTCGAAATCACTGAGGGTAGAGTTTCAAACTAACAAGAATGGAAGACACGTACCTGTAGATCCTTCCTAATGCATAGCTGATTCAATGGGAAAAGCATGCAACGATGCACCTCCTTAATGTAGCGCTCCGGATCAACCATAGTTATATCATTGTCAGAAGATCGAGCTAGCTCCGTGTTTATGTATTCTGTACTGCTCATCCGGTCAGCACAGACAAGCCATTCCTCAAGTGTTTCGGTTAACGAAGCTGTAAGGAGAGAAACGGAGAAAAATCAAAAGTTAGGTAGGTTGACGAATTCAACGCATGCGTTCCCATATCTCGCAATTTTAAAGGGCCCTCCCTCTTTGTCCCGGCACGACTATTCCGGTGTGAACTAAGTATATTTTTTTTATGCCAGAGCAGGAGGATCGTCCAAACGAGAATGATTTGGAAAACGATACAAGGAAGATTGTTGGTGTATCGTTAGTGGCAGAAGAGAAGCAACCAAGTCTGACTACCATGGAACACTGATCACATTGTGCACAACATAATTCCAGTTAAACGCAATCCCATAACACAAGAGGATCATACAGTCGAATTACTTATCAACAGACCACTGTAGTACACAATATGCAGTTCTAAAAGGTATCTGCGGTTGGTGCAGGAAAGCTAGCCTTTGACATCCCATGTTTGGGTTGGCGTGCATAGCGTGTTTTCTACAGTATGGCAATATCAACCAAATGAAATACAGTCTGTCAACAAAACAAACAAGATTTTTCACTTGTCCAGAGAACTGACTTAACAGAAGCAATGACTGAAATGCATAAAGTCAGAGCCCACAGTGGTCTCAATATTGTTATCCCTATGTGTGATATTGACGAAAACGAAGCACCTTCATCTTTGGCACGATGCACCTGAGGCTAACTCGGAAAGATCTTAGAAAAGTTATACTTAGGTAGCGAGGTTGTGGTCACGTGCATCCAGCTGAACCTATTAGGGGTATGCTTTAAACATTCTCGCATCGTCAACAGCAGTCTCTGCAACCATTTGAACAAGTTTCAACATTTTTTACAACTAATACAAAGAAACAATAAGAGGTCGCCCGCTTAGTAGTTCGTAGTAGTACCGAGATAAAGTGTTTATTATGCTCGAGTAATTAGGGCATACTCGCTCACAAGTTACCTGCCTCTCACAGTAACGAAGAGTTTTGGATACAAAAATAAAACTGAACGCGATACAGTAGCCTAGCAACAGTCCATGTTCGGTGGAAGTTTCATCCTTAGGGTAGGTCAGTTGATGCTGAAAAGCTGAGAAGTACTGTGCGGATGTCGTCCCTGTCTGGATCGATAAACAGCGCACACCTCAAAAATCTATGGGTGCACCGGAAACCTCAGTCTATGACAGCCTCGACTTAAATCCAGGACTATGTTAACGACAGTCGGGACCGCAACAGGCTATCACAAGATCGAAAGGGATCCCTTCTTTACTGTCAAAAACTTCAAAGCACTGAAGGGTAAGCAAAATGTGATACACACTGAGTAATGGTTGAGAAACATTAGCTGTTTTCGCCGGTCACAACATTCAACTGACAGTTTTACTAAATGAAATCACTGTTCACTACCATTCGCAAATCTATCAGTCTCTACTCAAGGAACTATTTTGCACAATTCGCTGGAAGCCTTATTTGTGCAGGGCCTGCTGCAAACCTGCAAGGAATCAACCATCGGTGAGGACAGATCGACAGTGCTGAAAAAATACTGGATGAGAGCTAATTTACCACCCGGTTTTTCTGGATTAACTAAAGTAATATTGATCAAAGATTATCGCATCTCAGTATCTTATTAGAATAAAAAGATCAAAATGGAACATATTACTTGCCAAATATTTGCAGGTATATCGTAAAAATACCCACAACGGTGTAACCACGTCTATTTTCAACCACAGACTGATTGCTCATCGATCAAAGATGACACACATGAGACCAATAATCCGTTGGAAATAAACAAATGAAGGTTCCATGGAAATAATGTGTTTATCAATCCCGTGTCCAAGCAGATAAGTAACTCTACCGAGCATGTGACAGCCCGTGACGCTTCAACAACTGTACCATTGTGGGTACTCATTAGGCTAGATCGATCAACACCAAGTCATTGCACAAGCCCATGTGTTCACCGTTCAGTTTTGAGTGTTATGTCTTGTGACAACATATGACAATCCGGCAACCTTGATCCGGAAGTCCTATGATTTCCCAAGTAACTGAACAATACAAAGACCAGTCTATCTCACTTTAAGCAATCTTGCCATCGAAATAAAGTGTGGGAAATGGCTGTGACCACCATTATTTTTGGCCTCAGACTATCCGCTGAGTGGCCGAAAGCAACCACTTGTCGTACGGGAGTTGCCATATTCAGATGCAAACCCGGCATATATTAAAAAAGATCGAAATTCAATAAAAATATGTCAGTGGCCCATTGCTCAGCCTTGGGTATGTACTACTATTGTGATCACGATACTTAAGAAGTAGCTCCATTCTTCCAAAGAGAACATATTCCTCATTTGGTTGCTAAAAACTCTTCGACAGAGCATGACTGGGTTCCTCCTTAATGTGTCTCATCATGTCAGTACAGTCCCGTAGTTGCGTTAACCTCATGTTCTTCTTGAACCCAAACTGTACGAAATTCATTTGCACACCAGTTTGGTTTTAACGTAGGATTTGATTGAATCCAGTAATTCTTAGTAACATTATACCGATCTCGCTGGCAGTAACTGCATGGGGCGCGAGCGCTAGTTTCGCAATTCGCCCGAGGACATTTTGAAACTCGGAGCAACTGGGTGGATAAAATGATATCCCTTGTATGTGAGAACAACGTCGAGCAATAGAGTAAAACCGAATAAACGGTGCCAAAAACAGCACATCTGAATTTCATGGTTAAGACGAGCGCTTACCAATCACCTGTCAGTTTTCACTGCAGCCTGAAAATACACCCGCTCTACTGGTGAACAACAGGCTCATTGAGAACAGGGGAGACCACCCCGTGTGTCCGTAAGATACAATACCGCCTACATAGCAGCTCTCCCAGCAACGGACCTACCTTTGAGATAACCCCATGTTTGTGCACACCTTTTGTGAGAGCTCAACTGCTTACTCCTCATCTTTCAAACAATTGAGGTTTCTCGACCTTGAAATCCACGAAGGAAATACGGGTCTGTACATACATCCTGTTCTGACAGTTACGGGAGTTAAATTCTAATATACACATGTACCCTCTGTCGGAACAGGTAGATTGGTCCAGCGTTGAAGTAAAAAAAACAACAATGTGAGTTGACTCACTTCGAACTTTGGGATCCGTTAAGTCGAATTTCACCAACTCTTTGAACAGTCTGTAAATAAGAATAGAGCAGCAAAAGCACACATCAGGTAGGGAAGTCAAAGAATTACAACGTACATATTAATGTCTATGATCTCAGAAAACTTATTATCGGTGACAAACGCACGCAGTACTGTTAACCACCCTTCCGCCCTTCCCATAAAAAGCTTCCTAGACGGGGGAGTACTGCACTTAAAAATTCGTATCGCTCACGTATTTTTTGCTTGAACAACTTTCGAAAAAGGGAATTGGCGACCGGATCGAAGGCAGACATGAGTATCAACCCTGAACCATTTATCTGATAATACATGCTATTTCCACCCACACGCCTGAAACCACCTGTGGTGTGGGGAGAAATGATGACAGAATCAACGGACGTGCGAAGTTTCTCAATTTCAAGATAGAGGCGTTCCGATAGACCTAGAGAAGTGGTCATCTTACCCTATGTGGGGGCACCTTGTTATGTCACTGGAAGCCTTTCTCGGCATGATAACGTGCCTATACAGAGCGACGGGTAGTTACGGTCCTGTAGAAGCCACATCCGAACTACTCCTAAATTTAAACCAATCAGAAAACCCTGCAAAAAACCTGAACTCCATACAATCCAGAATAAACGGATTCATTGTAGGATAATCCCTGTCAACAAAGTCTGCGTTCATAAACCCTACTTTGAAGCCTCTTCCTTGGAAACGAAGTGAGCTTCAAGACAAATGCTGAGAAAGTGCTGTGATTGAGTACCCGCATAATTAGGTCCTTGTTTTTCGTACATTTAAGCTACTTTGCCTTATCGTCCACGAGTCACCCAGAGACTAAGTAAGCAGTAAAGTGGACATGGACAGTTCAACTCGCTTGTCACTATTGTCATAATAACTTCAAGCGCACAAATTTAGCACCAGTGTCTGGCTATTACTTTCATACTGATGCACAACGCCTCCCAGTGACAGGAAGACTTACAGGTGACTTCTGAACCTCGACGGTGACCTATAAGATGTGGTGAGCGCCGTTAAACAAAAAATCCAGAAGCAAGAGGGCTGAAGCGCCTGGAACCATATTGCCTAGACCTGGATGAACGCAGCAAGAGAGTCAAGAGTGGAGTTAGACAATCGGAAACCTAAGTCTCAAACCCTTAAAGGGACTCAAGCCCGGGACGAGAACTTCGCCCCAAAGTATGAGTATGCACTTACCCGAAATAACGACGAATTCCATTCAACATGAAGAACACATTCATCATACCACCTTGAGGTCCCTTTTGGCTGGCATCATGCAGGAGCACGTTGGTTAAGCGGATGGAGGAATAGCGCATTGCGCATATCAGGGTGGGGGCTGCGGGGTGGTGAGTAGTGGTGACAGCTGGTTCCCAAGCAAGAGCCCCGGATATTACCTGTGAAATCTCCGACAACGCGGCATACTTTCGCGCGGTAGGAATTTGTTCGCTTGGCAGTAGTGTCATGCGACGGCGACGGTAATTGAGTTGGTTGCGATTCGCAAAGAACCGGCTCCAAGACGTACAAAGCTCCGTAACAGAATTGATTAGAAAAGCGGTCACGTGAAGTATGCGATGCGTGGCTTTTGCTAACTCTGAAAAAGATAGCGAACACCACCTAGTATGTGAAAGAGATGCTCGTTGGCGACAATAATTCAGTGACCAAATGACGTCTATCCATCAAACAGGAAAAAAACATCGTATTCGACAGAGAAAACAAACGAGCAAGACCAGAAATTAATGGAAGTCTCCACGATCATAGGAAAAATAATAGTACGCACATATCTGCACATTTGGTAAAAGTCAAAAGAAGCACAAGACGCTTATCTAGTCAGAATAAGGCTACCTTTCTGCAGGCTTTCAAAACTAAACATATGAGTGAACCTCGGTAACCAAGCAAAAGAAACTATAACAAAGCGATCCAGTCTAGGAATGCCAGCGTAGTCGCAACTGGAAATGTCTAAAATTTATGTTCCGCAAGGTATCCAGAAACACGCATGAAAACTGTGAGGTTCAGTCGGGACCGTGCATGGACCTCAAACCATTCAAATTACTTGTGAGTAAATAAGGCCAGTTTGTCGCCAGATTATCTGAACAAACAGGAACTCACCAGGTCGTTGATGAAGAAAAGCATTCTTGTTGTCACCGGAAGTAGGAATCTTGGACGGTCTCAGTATTGAGTAAATGTGAAGTGCCTCAACAAACTGAGGCATCGGACTAGTCTCTGTGACAGGTCTCCACTGACCGGTGGTATCGTCTTCCGGTTTCCAACCTGATTCGTCTGATGCCTGGTTTCTGTCGGCTGTGCACGTCGCTGGCGGATGTACACTTGTGTCCATTCTTTCTTGTGGATTTATATCTGCCTCCGTGATATCTTTGTCTCCATAAAGAATTTTGAGTAGAATACAAGCTTCCCAAGAAACGCCTAAATAGAGTCGCCTGAAAAGAAACATCGTCCAGTCAACTCCACATACGTATAAGCAAAAAGTAAATGTGCCTAGGTGTTATGCGAAAGAATACTGGGACATTCACCTAGAGTGCACGACATAATCGCCCGAGGGAATTCCGAACAAAAGGGCGGCTTCAGAAAAATCAAGTGCGGTGCAGTTTCCACGGAGAGGAAAGCATATGCTGCTTTGGTTTGCAAAACTACATGGCAAAAAGCCTCCCCTTCGAGAGGGCGACCTTCGAACTTTCGTAACCAAATAGATTCTGAATGAGCCGAGTGATGTAACCCGAATGATAAGGAGCCACCATCCTGCAACGTCTTATCCATGCACAGTGAGAGCCGGGTGTACCCTATTTCTGGAAGGCGGATCGTACCAACAGCATTCAAAAGTTTGTAGGAACGTTCATATCATTTTACCAAGTCACTTGTCCACTTCGCAGTTTGACATTCTGGAGGATAAATAGGGAACGACTCTCGTCTCGTCAGGCGATCATTCGACAGGAATAACAAAGCCCAACCACCGCAGATTACGATACTGAACGTTTACCGTTTACCCGGTACACGACGAAACATCACCTTCTAATTGTCTCAGTAAAATTGGCTGACGCCATTCAGCACCAGTAACGGTTCTGGGACGTCCCAGGTCCCTCGCTCGATGTCATGTCTGCCGACCACACAAGATATAGCCACGATAAGAAATAAGTGACGTCCCGGTTAAGATGGGACGTCATAAGATGCATGCACCCATGCCTTCGTATGGGTGTGGCAAAGGTGTACTAGTTACGAAACCTTACTAGCTCCCGTGTAGTCCGTCTGTGTTGAGATCAAAACGTTGTCTCTGATATGGATAACGCCAACAGTACATCAGTGGGGTACATTCATAAGAATGCAGTAGTGTTTTAAGAGTAATGAAACCCTATCGATAAAATAGGCAAACAGGATTGTCATTTTAATCTGCTGAAACTTCGCTCGTTTGAAAGTAAAATGAGAGTCTCAGTTGTAAGTGTGCTCACCTAAACAATGTGGGCGTTGTATTTTTTATCTCAGAGCATAAAATTCAGGGATTTCTTCGGATTGGCTAAAATGGCCAACTATCGATTCCACTCTGCTTGGGGCAGTGTAGCACTGGGGAATTCCGAAAAAAATCTACCGGTTGTTCGTAATGAACGATTCATCAATTTCAGATGGTACATTTGGTTTAGCCATTCATTGAGTTTGACTACTTGCGAAGTTATATGAAGTCCGTAAATTTTCCCATGAGCATATTATTACGGTGGAGTGCTTAAAAATGGTCACAAAGTAGTAGGAGTGATCAGTTACTGGAAACCAACCCGCATTTCTATCAGATACACGAGGCGAGAATCCACCGTGCACTATACAATGTCTTTCAGCAGTAACAACTAAAGCTTCGGAATATTTAAATATTTTTAAATCAGCCCAACTGAAACAGTAAGAAGCATACGTGCTGAGCATTCAGTCGGAGAACATTGTAAATGAAGGACCGATTCGAAGCTCGTTTGGACCTCGCCTTGGGTGATTTACTTAACAGCCTAAATTGTCATTCGTATGAGATATAAACTCGGGCATGTGAAGCCATTCAATCCCGTAGTATGAGAACAAAAACTCAAATTCAAAACCTGTCGGCTATCTCCGTCTTTCAACGTTTAAAAGTCACACGCAACCACTCCGAATGTCTGGTAAATTCAATCCCCCTAATCTTCGCTGGAGAGGATTCGGTACACCGAAATTCTAACCTAAGCACACAAAGTCCTACTTCATTATCCTTCATGATCTGTTTTTTAGGCCGTAAACGTGATTGTTCCATACTATGAGGCGGGTTAGGCCCACTTCCAAATCGTGGATAACCACAATTTTGAATTTGTTTTCCTGACAACCAGTAACTCCTGTGGCGGTAGCTTTGAGTCCTAGCTCCAGAATATTCTAACCAGATCATAGACACTCACACTTGTGGTATGAATCGATCGGCTGGTCTGCAAGGCGAATTCTGTGACAAATAAGATGAAACGCTAGTCGAAGATGTCCATCAAGATGTGTCGAAATAGCTGTTAGACAATAAATGAATAAAGAATGCAACGGAACCAATACAAACATGCGGTCCACTCACCCCAAGGAGTGAAGAACGTTCCGAACTAGCCATTTGTCAGCCAACGATGGGCGTAATTCAGACTTCAAGTGGTCTATAATCTGTACCATGATACAAATTATGGAGGCAGTGACCACAAGCTCGTGAAGCAGGACATGCTCGTTAGCCATGTATTCGCGCAACAGAAGGGATGTTAGTGTAAACTGAGAGTTTTGTAGGGGTGCCAGTTTTTCTAGCGACGACTCTAGGCACTAGAATAAGACAGGAAAGTAATGTAAAATTGTCAAACAGAAGCGGATAAAAAATAATCAGGTTTAGTTAAAATGTGGTGCTCAGAAAAGTCAATTCACGGCGCAATGGACGAGTAATTTTGTTTGGGAAAGTGGAAAGATGAAAGTCGACAGATTATGTAAACTGAAGGACGACGTCGAACAGAAACGATAAAGGGGTACAAAGTAAGGTTTGTTCTTCATCCCAAACGACCAGTGATAATTCCATGTGGCAGATGGCTAGAAGGGTGTGTGACAATCAGCCTTAGCACCAGTTTTGGGGGATAACAAGGAGGACGCGGACAGTGAGACATTATTAAGCTATTATGCTACAGAATAGATAACAGTGTGAATCTGGCGTGTTTTCGGTGCATCGATTAAATACCATCGGAAGTGAACACATGGGTCAAGACATATACTGCTCAAACTTAGACAGGAGATCGGTTTTAAAACTTCAGTTCCTTGGTCGGTATCTCGCACGTTCACCTTAAAGTTATCTCGTGGGTGCATTTTTAAATCTGTGGAAAGCCAGTCAGAGCAATAGAGTAGTTACTCCTCGTTACCGAACTGAACTTCACTCCACTAAATTCTTTATGACAACAGCCAAACTATATAGGCTCCTTAAATTCCCTATATTGCTTCCTTACACCTTTCCATCCCCTCTCAAAAATCTCCCCCTTTAAATCAAGAGTTGACAAGCATTTGGCCTCACGGGAGTTTTTTATGGTTTCTAAGGATTCCTCTGCTTCGGGGTTAACCCATTCCTGTAATTCTAGGCTGCCGTCTATTGAAAACTAGAGACATCGTGACACAAAAGTGATGCCTGTAACCAAGATGTTGAAGAAATAGTATATGAAATGAATCCACCGATCAGACAAATACTTTCCTCATCGACCCAAAGGAGTTCTAATGGCATTTCGGGCCACTGCTACATCAGTTGTTATAAATATGGTCGACCAAGGGAGCATTCAAAACTGCATCCTAAACAGAAATCGTTTGTCGTCAGCACATCCAACTTCACCATCTCAGAAAAAACAGTACCCGAGAAATTGAAGAAAAATACGATTTACTACCACTTTGTACGCAAAAAGCAGTGATAACTACGTAGGGACAATTGTGGGGCCTGAAAAACATTGCAGTCTGAATTCTTTTTCGTCATTCACAGACACACAAAATAAAGTTTTACACGCACAATCGACGGATTTGGTATTCACGTGACAAAAGTGGGACGCAAATTGAAAGATCGCATGTACAACAGCGAAACATCTTAATTCTATGGCAATACCTCCGAGTGCTTAGATCAGGCGGAGTAAGAATACTGGGTTGAACAGAAATAAGGGGCAGGAATAACCGCCACGGCCAGAAATAATTATGTCCCACACGCGCCCAATGAGAGCAAACAGTTACAGAACGGGTGGTAAAAACAGGACACCGAGTCACTACTACGTGCGTAGTACGTACGTACTCAGACGTACGATGGACTGAATGAAATCACAAAGCTAGCGGGATTAGCCTCGGGCTGATTGTGAGGTGAAATCCCGGCTACAAATCAGAAGGTATCGATTTGGACTCCCTACGGCACAGTGTACAACCTATGTAACAGGAACAATAAGCTCATCAGTGCGTTCGTAAGAAAGGATGTACGACTTCCGACATACAGACTATACTTCGACCCATTGCCTTCCCGACAGTGGACAGTCCCGCATGCATAGCGCAAGCGACATTCATCCACAAATGAAAAGCGTAAAAACCGTTATAACACCGAACAAAATCCATACTTGAGTTCATTTGTTAATATCGTATTCCTCGTCAAAAACCGCAAGACTGCGGTAGAACACCATTGCTTCTAAGAAGTTACCTATCAGCGAGACATTTTTATTCCACTGACGCCCATAAGTATCACATGATTCTAAAAAAATCGCGGTTGGGAAGGCAAGGTCAGTGAACAACGTGTGTTGTTGACTGTTCACGAAGACATATACCACATAAATACAATATAGCGCCAGTGAGTGAACTCGGTGACATTCGCTGTCGTCAGTGCTTAAAATCGATTAAGAAAGAAACGTGAGAAAATCGGTAGAATTGTTGTAGCGGTGAAAACTGAGTAAGCTATTCCAAATTAAGTGCTCATAATTTACACCAAGAGGGAAATATCCGGTAGTAGGTGTGTAGGTACGCTAACCGAATCCGTGGGAGGAATTGACACAGATGATGTCCTAGCTTTTTGAAGGCTAAGTATATAACATTGTGAATAATGAAAACCGTTGGAAACGTCACAACGCTATAACAAAGACGAACCACAGTCGCGGTATGCTAAGCCAACAGACAACAACAGCCATCGTCAGCAAAAACGGTACATTTACTTCCTTCGGTAGTTACATGTTCGACTAGGACCTCCTTCCAGTCTGAATTCGTTATGAAGTTAATCTCTTTCTTTCAAAAAACAACTGACACCCAAAACCTCAAATTAAACTAAACCACACAATGCCGGATAGCTCGTTGTGAAAGGTCATTACACGGTTGACAGAAATATTTTGAACAATACCATGGTTGGACGAAAAAGCGACGCACCTGAAACAGGGGGGCGATCACATCGTTGAGGTATATGGAGTTCGCCAAATCCTCGAAAATCTTGCAGAGAGAGGCACAGCTTGCCGAAACCGGGAAATCGTAAGGCAGCCCTGGCATTCGTAAAAGGTCACATAGCACTTGAAGACCACCGTGGCTCATGAAGTGTCGACACATAGCTTCCGTTACATGCAGCACGGATGGAAGTAGCTTCTCCAGAAATTTACACTTGAAGCAGAGAAAACGAAATGGCTATAAACGAGAGTTCGTATTAGGTAAGCATTAAAAACAGCTGAACTACGGCAAAATAATTTTTAATTAGCTACCACGTCAAGTGTCAGTCTTATACACAAAGCTTTTCTTTAACAGGAAGGATTACGCTCGCAGAGTGGACTACTGTTAGAATGTCCATTGGCATCCCACCTCGGAAAAGGTCTATTTTAGTCGATCCAGTTTAGTAATCTTTAACAATGGGAAAATGTATATGGATACATTAATACACAATTAGACAGTTGCGTCAGAAACACTCAAAGCCGTAAGTAAAGTGGAATGGCACATACTGTATTTAACATGAAGTCTGATAGAAAATGATAAGCAGGAACAGGTGAGCCGTCTGCCAGCGAGGTGATAGGACGACTGGTTGGGGCAAGGTCTTCCTTCAAGTTCAGCGAGGCAGTGGGCGAGGTAGATCGTGAATCCATCAGTCTCGTATTGACAGATCGATGTTGATGCGCTGCAGTTTGCGTTGCACGACTCACATCGTCAATGTCGTGATCATCGTCACCATCTTCATCTTCATCACCAGACAGCATAACCACATCCTCCTCAAGCATACCATCGGGTTCCCCGATGCCTCGGCCACCGGAGGTGGAGGTTGCAGCCTGGGACGTATCGATGCTGCGACCAAGTGCCACTCCCGTTAGGCAGGGTAAATCGGAGCCCAAATGCTCACAAACAGTGGAATCCGGTGGTTCATTGGTAAGTTTGGTGTTGTCATCAGTACCCAGTGTGTGCGTGTCCGAAACGCACCGGATAGGTTCCACAACAAGGCTTGCAGGTTGCATCCGACCGATTTCCACGACGCGTTTCATACACTGCCAGAAAGGAAGGAAACCAGAAAAAAGCTGACTAAAACATCGTCCTCCGTATGCGTACTCAACATAGTGTGTATATTTTGTTGCCAGAAAGAACTCACAGCAACCAGACCTTGAAACACCGGAGTTTTCAGTTCACTGCGTGAGCGCAATAATTCCTGTATTGCATTGCTCATTTGACTCGCGGTCAGACTATTGGACAGAGTTTGCCCAGTACTGGAGGAGAGATTGTACGATATCTGAGATAGAAAATCGCGCACACGCTTCGTTTTCATCGTCGGCAGATAATCCGGTGACACCAGGGTTTCAAGGTACTTCGAAAGAACGCCACTAGACTGAATTGCCTCGATTCCACGGGCATTCAAGGCCAAAGTGTTGAACAAGCCAGGAAGTTGCACAAGAAAGTCACGGTTCTGCGGAAGCGGCTGGCTAGTTAGTGCCGTTAAAATGTCTGTAGTAACATTTTTATCCTGAAAAAAAAAACATAAAAAACAACACATCAAGGGTTTTATGAAAATACCCTGTCCTCAAGATGAAAAAATAACCGGAATCTCGTTCTTTATAGAAGTTCCAATCAAACGACGAACGTGGAATGGGCCACTGCGTTAAAGAAATGATCATTCACCACGTAAGAGGCAATATGGAGTAGTATGGAGCTATTAGGTGATTGGTTGAAGTTGGCAACTAACCCTGAAACCCCTGGAACACAATCGACTAAAGCCGTGATTTCTAACATCCACCCTGTCCACAAAACCCTCAAAATATCAAGTAGTTTCTGGGCCTCATCCATGAAACAAAATGACCGGCTATACAATTTTACACATGAAGTTGAACTTTTGAAGGTGTGCTCATAAACTACCACTAAATCTTACGGCAAACAAGGTTGGAGGTTGATTACAACGACTTCCTTAGGATTTCACTTCATGTGGCATTCACTGAGAATTTGGTGTTTTGGACTGATGCGCTGGTCTCAACTGGTTGATGACTAGTTTTGTTTTGTATGTGGAACGGCCACAAAAATACGCCTTCACAATTACATGTGGTTTCCAGCCTGAACTGGTAAAGAGGAGTTTTAGTGAGGACTCAAGGTGTAGTTGAAACTAGTGACTAATACTTTATTCAATAAAATCTGTTTTGACAGCGAGAAGTGACGCACCTGTGCGATTTTCACACTCCATAAGTTAATGGATTCGAAATGAACTAATGTGACATGAGGTAGTGTCCATGTTGATTCAGTTGGTGCTGTCAGGCAAGCGATAATGTGCGAATTCGGGTCACAACATTTAGGTTAATATTAGGCTATTCCATATATAATAAAAGGCATCCACCATTGCCACAAACAAAAGCGGATATAGTCAAACCCGGGAATAAAGAAATTACTCAAGCCCAAGTTGAAATCTTATTTCGGTTCCAAAAAGGATAGTCCGCGGACAACACGATCTATAGACAGGTGACACGTCACATTACTGAAGTGTTTTGCGGTTTAACAACAAACTGGCAACGAACGACGCCAAGGCGAGCCTAGGATAGGGGGCAATTGTGGCTATCAGGCCTCCCGAACTCAAGACGAAAGCTTCAAGTGGCTCAAGGGATACTCCAATTTGTGCCTGGTGGATCAATAGCGCAAAAACACTGTCGCTAACTGCCGGCGTAAGTGTTGCACTGTTGGTTATGTTGTGCACGACTGTGCTTGGCCTATCTCTTGATTGGCTCTGCAGCGCTCTGCGTCAGTCGACCGTTGGTCGTTCGGGGTAGTCGACTGCTTTACTAGGTAATCTAAATAGTCTTTGCCGCATGCACCACCGTGGCTCCTGCTGCCTTCAAGCATACGCAATGGAGGGCATCGACCTCTAGTGACAGAACACTGACCGAATTCGCAAGGTCAAAGGCTGATCTTGTTGTCAGTCCGTATAAGGAAGGTTTTACCCAGCATTTTGTACCGGTTAGTACCCTCCTCTGAGAAACTCTCTATTCTCTGTCAAGTGTAATTACGTCAAAGTTCAGTGCCACACCGTGATCCCTTCTCAGGTGAACTCCGTTCCTTCGGTCAACGGTGTCGTCCACAACAAGGGCAATTAACTCATTTCGTCATATGTTCTCCACCTAGCCAATACTAAGGATTTTTCAATTTGCGATCTGATGGCTCAGCACCACTTTCAAGCCCGCGCAAACCGTCCGCAGACGCATCCGGTGTTTCTACAACTGTTGACAGGTGACTCTGATTTGACTTATCATTGTACACCTTTAGTTGAGACTGAATGATGAAGCAATCTTTTGTGGCCGTTCTGATCGCATCATTGGAAATCAATATTATTAGCCAGCTAACCATACAGATCACGTCCAGGAAGACAACTGCTAGAACAGCGTTAGTTTGGCAACCATTTCCAGACTGGTATGTCACATCGAACTAACACGAAGGCATTCTGAGCACCACAATTAATGCATCATTTGATTTGCACTGAGCCACATTGCATCCATCTGAATGCCCTGTACCCTGTGTAAGTTTGAGAGAATAAGACCGAAAGGAGGTCAAAAAGGAGCAGTTCTAAAGTTATCAGCGGCCTATAATTCCTAATTCAGTTGGATACAAGCATCTCGACTTCACCTATCTAAAGTTGGGCAACCCGATAGTATCTCAGTACTCCTGCTTCCTTCGGGTGGCATGGAAGCTAGGCACCGAGTGTTACAGCTAAACGATTTTTATTATCATTATATTAGCTGCATTCCACGTGAGTCAATTTGCACATATTTGGAAACACCATAAGACATGACACGCAACCAAGCCTGGTGGGGAGTATACTGCAACTCCTTTGCCAGACTTTATTTGTGCTGGGTTTTGTCGGGTGAGGTGTGCAAAGGCCTGTGAATCAAGCACGCAGGTGTCTTTCTCGAACAAGATATTCAGATACATTAATTTTAGTGGTTGTTAGGGATACTGACATCTCGCTACTGAACTTTATTCTTAGGAAAAAGAGGTCCCTTGAAAAGTGTCATATTCCGATCATCTCATTTAAGCGCGAAATCCCACACAATTGATTTGTTATTATTCTCTGTAAGGGATTAACTGTAAAAATAACAGCGGACGACCAGTTTTCAGTATCAACTCATCATAAAATCTGTGTATAACTACTAGAACTGGGAAACGGATACCCACCACTTTTAACAAAACGTGCCCACAAAAAGTTGAACAATATGAATAGACGACCCACCTGCATTGAGGATATTCGCGAAGGGTATGTATATAGATAGTTGGTGATCGTTTCCATTGCAAACAGTGCCAAATGTGGGGTGAAATGAATGGACCCATTGAGGAATACCTGACGCAAAATATCAGGAAGTGTATCCTCCATAACAGTGTGCATCACCTCCCCCCAGTCCGTATCCAAACAAAGGCGCTTCAGTAGATTTAGGATGGACTTCATTAGACCAGAGCGCTGTGTATTCAAGGCGGGACCAAGGTCTTGCCGAATCTGGTTGTGAAAAAATGAAATGGTTTGTCATCCAAGTAAGTGGGCGAAACCCGGTACGGAGGAGGGACAAGCTGTTGAATGCTGAAAAAGTTCACTAGTAAGAGTACTCGATACAACTACCGGCTAAAGTAAGGAGTGTCTCCTGGCAAAAGCTGCCGTTGAAGTATACTTAAGTCAAAAGATAGATCATGGGTGCACTGTCCACTAGCTTGGAAGTCAATCATGGTTTTCCATGGCAGCACCCCAAGTTCGTCAACGAATCGCGGTTGGCGGCCACCAGTTGACTCTTTGTTTGCACATCCTATTCTATCATGTTTAAGATATCAATGCGGTGCAAACTACCAAAGGGGGTCTTAGCTAAGTATAGATATTACTCTGTCCACGAGGAGTTTCTAGGGATGATCCCCGACGTCGTTTTGTCTGCTTTACGACAAAGCTAGGACACCACTCAAGAGCTGGGGGAATTCATGCATCTGATCATAAACCATTTGTACTGAGAGGATCTCAGCAACACGTTTTGGATCTTTTTTATTGATTTTTTCCTCCATGCCGCCCACAAACAAACATACTCCATTCTGTAAATCGCATAGTCAAAAGTTCCTTATGAATCATGAACAGGGGTGGACAGGCGTAAATACTTCACAAACTAAATAGCTTTAATGCAAGACTGGGTAGCAAACTGTGCAACCAGCCTCTTCGTTATCCTTAGAGATAGTTTTTTGTTGGACTGACTACCCTAAGAAGGTTACAATCCTTGAAATGTTGCAGAAAATTACAGTACCAACATTACAGATGGATCAACTGTCCTAAAAACTCAAAAATCTAGAGTCACCACCGACCACAAATAACAGGTGGGAAAAGTGAAAAGCCGAAGAGGAGCTCAGAAACAAAGAGCTGACTTCTCTTTTAAAACGGCTTACCAGTCCCGTAGGCGGATGCATCGTATCGACAAACAAACACTCCAAGCGAGGTCTTCGAAAAAGTGTAATTTAGCCATGTTGACCCATGAAATAGAGGCTCACACTATACTACTGTTCTGTTAGTTGACGGTTACTACACGAAATCTATGTGGGACAAAACATCCAACATCTATCTCCCACGCTAAATAAAATACAGACTGTATTCTTAAAAGGGCAGTCTACGGGTAAAGGAAAATCAACCAGCGTCTGAGAACGTAAAACATTGAGTTGCGGAACAAAATAAATCATTGGCAACTAAGATACAGAAAAATAAACCTACCTTCCCATCACTGGAAGCTTTTAAGACCAGGTCGACCTCGAAACTAAGCCGATTGACGAGAATATTCACAACATTCAATCGACTGGTGGCGATACTCATCAGTATTTGATCCGTGACTCGAACGGCGCGTGTGACGTAACTCAGACAATCGTTTCGAGAAGTGTGCCAGGCAATCAACTGCAACATTGTGTCTAACACACCACTGGAACTGAGTGTGGCATTTTGTGTATTGCCTAAAAAGCATATGGTAGTGACGCTCAGGGTAAAATATTAAAAAACACATACCTGGTCCGACGTTTTCCTCGTAACAGGCAAGATGATAAAGGAAGGACAATATGGCTGTGGTGAATTGTTGATTTGTACTACCCCCAGGGGCCTCAATGGTGCCATCGACTAGACCTTGAATCCATCTTCTGGTCAAACTGGGCAAAATACCATGATAGCTTGACAACCCTGTACAACTGACAAGAGACGTCCAGCTGTTAAACAAGAATAAAAAGTAAGCCAGTATAAATGTGAATGATTGCTGGCAGAATTCGTGGGCAACGCTGATAAAATTAGGAAGTAGCTGAGTTGCAGTAAAATAGAAAAAGGTGAAACTACACAAAGCAACTCCTTGACATAAGCAATTCACACGTTTGAGATGTTATCACTATCACGACGAAATCTGATGTATCACCTGATGAACATAAGTAATGTGTACTATGGAACACTTAAATGAAACGCTCAGAACTCGATGTGCCCGTCAGCAAACTACCCTCAGCCAAATCTAATTCCAAAAGTGCCCATGGTGACTACCATCCTGTTGCTTATTCGGTCCTCCAAATACGCGTCACAAATGTTGACGCGTCTAACATGCATCTAAAGGGAGCACCGTCTTTGTTGGTAAGCTTTTCAACTTCCAGTCTAGAGATGAGTAAGTCAAGAGGAAATTTAACTATTTAGACGTGATGCCGTGAACCTGACTCCATTTTCTGATTCGCTGAATTTTTGCCGCTGCCTTGGCCGATTTTAGGGCCTCAGTCCCAAACAAAAACCGAAAGTCCTTCAAGATAATCTGGAGCGTTCTCGAATTGGGATAACCGAGTGTTGCCTATGAGCAGTTCACAAAGCGTTTTTGAAACAGGTTCCACTTGCCACAAGTCTTTGAAGGCATGGTCCCAAAAAGTTGACCGGCTAGTAATATGCTGGCACCCTTTCGGCGCCTTGTTATCAGACTTTGGAGTCAAACGCTTTCGGTGAAGTCCCTAATCATCTTCTTGTCCATGTGTGGGCGCCTCAAGTATCCCAAACCGATTACAACCATGAAGTTTGCAACTGGAAATACTGTCACGTCGGCTGCTGCGTCGTATCATTTGCTAAATCGCCCTAGTTGCCGTATACACCAAGCTGAGTAAGCAAAAATATGCTATTGCTCATGCCTACTTTCTTATACATTTATTTCTTTTTTTTTCTCCACTCCAGCCTCATTGTGAGCCTCATGCGAATCCCAGAACTAAAACAGGTTCATTCGATAACCGAGTGTTGCCTATGAGCAGTTCACAAAGCGTTTTTGAAACAGGTTCCACTTGCCACAAGTCTTTGAAGGCATGGTCCCAAAAAGTTGACCGGCTAGTAATATGCTGGCACCCTTTCGGCGCCTTGTTATCAGACTTTGGAGTCAAACGCTTTCGGTGAAGTCCCTAATCATCTTCTTGTCCATGTGTGGGCGCCTCAAGTATCCCAAACCGATTACAACCATGAAGTTTGCAACTGGAAATACTGTCACGTCGGCTGCTGCGTCGTATCATTTGCTAAATCGCCCTAGTTGCCGTATACACCAAGCTGAGTAAGCAAAAATATGCTATTGCTCATGCCTACTTTCTTATACATTTATTTCTTTTTTTTTCTCCACTCCAGCCTCATTGTGAGCCTCATGCGAATCCCAGAACTAAACCTGACAGGTTCATTCGTCTTGCTTCACGCTAGCAGCAAATTGTGCGCGTCCATCTGCAGCAACAGCCCGAAACCTCGGAATCACTTTTCGGACCCCGTAATTCGGTCCAGTTAGCTGCCTTTAATATTCGAAGTCAGGAATGCTGATGCTAGTACGCTAAACGACCTCAACATGGCCGTATACCATCAGAGATGAAAATCCAGGAGGTGACTGTCATGAATATTCTTTGTGCTTACATCATCGTTTCGTATTAACCATGCCTTCGCCTTCATTTTCAGCTTATGTACGTCTATTCTCAGACAAGTAAAGCGCTATTCATTCTACGTCATTCATTCTTGTTCTCGCGCTCAATCAGAATCGATATTTTATTCGTAACAATTTACTTGTCTAAGAATACCATGGAACCGTTGCTGCGACCCAAGTATTTCGACGCAGATCCTAATTCTCCAGACGCAACAACGCGTTGGAATCATTGGTTCCGAACCTTCCAAACGTTTCTGGGCACTGTCGAATCGCCCAATCTAAATAAACTGGAAACTCTGATCCATTTTGTGGATGCACCTGTATACGTTTATATCGCTGACTGTCCAGATTACGAATCAGCTATCAGTACGCTTGAAAAGTTGTACGTTCGTCCTAAGAATATAATTTATGCTCGCCATCTTCTACAAACTTGCAAACAAGACACCAGTCAAGATGTTGATCAGTTTGTTCAGAGGCTTAAATCCTTGGCCAAAAATTGTGATTTCAAGGCGGTGTCCGCCATTGACCATCAAAACGAAAGTGTACGCGATGCTCTAATCAACGGACTTCAGTCTACTACCATCAGAGAACGACTTCTAGCTCAAAACGAACTCACTCTCGATGAAGCTCATGAATTGGCCAGGTCATTAGAATTGGCCCACAAACAAGCTCAGTCATACTCACATAACCAGGCGATATCATTTTCTGCGGCTGCAGCACCTTTACAGACATCTACAGTTATCCCTTCACACTCAAACTCCCCTGATTCTACACCCTATCTCTCGTCAATCAGTTCTCAGATATGTTACTTTTGTGGTCGTTCCAGACATCCACGGTCAAAGTGCCCCGCAAGAGAAGCAGTTTGTAAATCATGTGGCAAAACAGGCCATTTTCAGCGTGTTTGTCGATCCAAATCTGTAAAGTGTCACTCAAATTGCACAACGGATTCGGCCTTATCTTCCCTGTTGACTGCTGCGGCCCCGAACTGCTTGTCTCGCACGGTGACCAGCATAAAGGTGAACGGGATATCGCTTCAGGCCCTCATAGACACAGGAAGTTCGAGCAGTTACATATCTCCTTTGGTGGTTGGTAAACATGGCTGGAAGGTATATGCTAACAATTCTGTGATTACCATGGCATCTACCTCTCTGACGTGTTCAACTAGAGGCTACTGCTACGCATCCATCGATTACAGGGGCACCGTTTACAAAAAGATCAAACTATTGGTATTACCCAATCTATGTGCTGACCTGCTGCTAGGCCATGACTTCCTTGGTCTACATAACAAAGTTGAAATCACATTCGGTGGGGACCGAGGTCCATTCACCCTCTGCGGTCTACCTGCTGCTGCGGTCGAGTCACCTCCTCTTTTTGCTAACCTCTCACCCGACTGCAAGCCTGTTGCTACAAAATCGCGACGTTATAATCCGGACGATGAACAATTTATCCGCTGTGAAGTTAATCGACTATTGGATGAAGGTATAATCGAACCTTCGAGTTCTCCATGGAGGGCTCAAGTACTGGTCACGAAAAATTCAAACCACAAAAGACGCATGGTAGTGGACTACAGTCAAACCATTAATCGGTTCACATACCTAGACGCGTATCCGTTACCGCGACTGGATAAAATGATCGAAGAAATTTCCCGTCATACTGTCTTTAGCACCTTAGACCTATTGAGTGCTTACCATCAAGTTCCAATCAGTGAGCAAGATAAACCGTATACGGCTTTTGAAGCATGCGGAGAGCTGTTTCAGTTCCGTCGTATTCCTTTCGGTGTAACCAACGGAGTAGCATGTTTTCAACGTACTATTGACCAAATAATCAAGTCTGAGAACCTAAGTAGCACCTACGCTTACATCGACAACGTCACTATTTGTGGGACTACCCAAAGTGAGCATGACCAGAACCTCAAATCTTTCTTTGAAGTAATAAGAAAATATGGAATTACCCTTAACTGTAAGAAAAGCATCATAGCAGCCAAACAAATACGCCTTCTGGGCTACGAAGTCTCTAAAGGAATTATCAAACCAGATCCTGAACGAATGAAACCTATTCGTGAACTCCCTCATCCACATGACGCTAAATCCCAACAACGTGTTGTTGGTATGTTTGCTTATTATTCGCAATGGATACCATGCTTCTCTGACAAAATCAGTGTGCTTGTCAGAAATAAGACTTTCCCCTTACCGGAGCGTGTGCAACAGTCTTTCAAAAATTTAAAGAAGGAGTTAGAGAACGCCATGGTTGTGACAGTCGACTACAACGCACCATTGGTTGTCGAGACTGACGCCTCAGACATAGCCATTGCTGCATCTCTGACTCAGAACGGCCAACCGGTGGCCTTCTTTTCTAGAACACTGACACCGAGCGAAAAGAATCACTCTGCTATTGAGAAGGAGGCATACGCCATCGTTGAATCTATCCGTAAATGGAAGCATTATCTCTTCGGGAAGCACTTCAAGCTTATCACTGACCAGCGGTCAGTTTCCTTTATGTATGGTTCGTCGCAGAAAAGTAAGATAAAAAATGATAAAATTCAGCGATGGAAAATGGAACTTTCCGCTTTTAGCTACGATGTGAGCTACAGACCTGGAAAAGACAATCTGGTTGCTGACACCTTATCGCGTAACCTATGCGCCAATGTGATCGGCAATGATAAATTAAAAGAAATTCACGATTCCTTGTGCCATCCTGGAATCACTCGAATGCACCACTTTGTTCTTTCCAAAAACCTGCCGTTCTCTCTCCAAGATGTCAAGGACATCACCACAAAGTGTACGGTTTGCGCCGCCATCAAACCGCAGTTTTACAAACCACCCCCCGCTACGCTCATCAAAGCGACCCAACCATTTGAACGAATTAGCATCGATTTTAAAGGACCTCTACCTTCTGTTACTCGAAACCGGTATCTCCTTACCATCGTTGACGAGTTTTCTCGTTTTCCGTTTGCCTTTCCCTGCGTAGATACATGTGCGTCTACAGTTATTAAATGTCTGTGTGAGTTATTCTCTTTGTTTGGCATGCCTGCATATGTACATTCGGATCGTGGCTCGTCATTCATATCTGACGAACTGTCCACATTCCTACATGACAGGGGAGTTTGCACCAGCCGAACAACTTCTTATAATCCCCAGGGGAACGGGCAAGTCGAACGCCTCAACGGAACACTCTGGAACGCAATCCAGCTTAGACTCAAGACGAAAGGCCTCCAAATCTGTCACTGGGAGTCGGCTCTACCGGATGCCCTCCACTCTATACGGTCCCTTCTCTGCGTCTCCACGAATGTTACTCCACATGAACGGATATTCCGGTTTGAACGCCGGTCATCCTGTGGTTTATCTATACCGACTTGGCTCACTGTTCCAGGACCTGTTTTACTGAGGAGATTTGACCGTGCCTCAAAGTATGAGCCCGTCGTTGAGGAAGTCCAATTAATAAATAGCAATCCACATTACGCCCGTGTTCGTTTTCCCGGCGGAAAAGAAAGCACTGTATCCGTCCGCCATCTCGCTCCTTGTGGTGATCGCACACATGTCAACGACTTCACGCGTACCTCATCCAATGAAGACAATGGTGTTCATGCACCCCCTCTATCTGACTTGCACACGCCTCCGCTCAATAACATTGGAGATGATATCGATCATACTTCAGTCTCACCCCCGCGCCCGGCAATGCACAATCGATATTCTATTTGTAACAGCGAATACTGTGATTCAATTGGTGGCCCCGTCACTTCCTTCCCATACCTCTGGTGATGCATAGACCGGTGCAGCTAGATATAGTTAGTTATTGTGTTGTCATCGGACGAAAACATCTATACTGCACTGCATGACTGTTGATTGTCATCCCGGTAGCATTTGCGTATCTAAAAGGAACAGGTCCACTAAGTGTAGCTAATTACACTCCGACGGACTGTAGCATTGACTCTGCCAAGTTTCTACCTAGCCAGTGACCCAACAGTTATACACACTCGATTATGAGGACTGAACGAATGACAGGAAAGAGGAGTGAGCTAAACAGGCCTGGATCCTGATACTGCTTCACACAACAGATGTGTCTGCAGGTGCACTGGGCTCTCGGTAAGGTAAGGTACTTAGTCGACCGCATCAAATAATGCGCCAGCGGACACTGGCAACTGATAGGTGGACGAAGTGTACGATCATTCAGTCAAACAGAGACCCTTTCGCCTGATTGCCCAAAAACAATACCGACCCAGAGAGAACCAATGACGTAAGATTGTAGATTATCAGTGGTGAGTAACGGGACGCCAGAAGAAACCGATGGGGACGTAAGCTCAACAACCACACTTGAGTATTGAATCATCGCCCCAGAGGAATAGCGCATTTCAACAGAAAAAATCTTTCAGCTGCAGCACCCTTTTGGTGCCTAACTGTCACGCCACCAGAAGGAAGGACGAGGACTAGGATACTGCCAGGTTGCCCAAGCCTAGACAGGGGAAGTTGAGAGACAGAGGTCGGATTCGAACCACTGACCTTCCGGTCAGTAAATTCGCGCTCTAACCACTGAGCCATCTCGCCCCAGAATGTAGGAACTGAAGGATGACCCGAAACCTGTAGTATCTAGATAGAAAGCTCGGAAATTGTGCCTGGATCTTGTATTCAACATTCAGGGGTGCAACATATTTCAATCGATAAATTTTCTAGAGTCCACACAAGAACAGCTTGCTGGCTGGTGAGCCTACGACTTCACAGGTTAAAATTGCAATAGAAATAGAGGACGACACTCAAACAGTGAACGCGGAACGTAAGATATCAGCGGTGGCGAGCGTCAATTCCCCAGGTGCCTACGGCCGGATTTTACAGATAGTGATTGCCAAGCAGGAGAGCGCTATAGGATGAACGAGGACTACTGGAAGCAGCAGTCGGTAGCTTTCGTTTATCCGCCATGTGTGCAACAAATAAGACAACATGACTGGTGTCACCACACGACGGTCGATGTGATAAGAGGATACTTTTACTTGTGGAGTTCTTGATGTCCTTAAGAACTGGCCTACAGAGACATCTCTAGCAAATGGTCGGGAGGAATGAGTAAGAAAGAGGGAAAAAAGGAAAGTATCAGCAGTAGCCTGTTTTCGGTTAGGTGCCCTGCTACATGCAGACATCAGCTAATGACACCACGTGATGGCCGATATAATGCTATTCATAGATGTACGCGGATTGTGAAACCACCATGGAGCCCAGACCTAGAAAAGATGACGGTTGAGGTTTTCACCCAAGGTTGCGGGGATTGGTGTAAGATCACCACAGCAGTCTGCATTCTTGGGAAGCAAGTTGCAACACATTCCACCTCTCCAAACTGGATAAAGATAAAGATAATCGTTTAGCTGTAACACTCTTTCAGTGCCTAGCTGTCATGCCATCCAAAGGAAGCACGAGGGCTGGGATACTGCCAGGTTGCCCAAGTCTAGACAGGGTAAGTCGAGGGGCGGAGGTCGGGTTCGAACCCGACCTTCCGGTCAGTAAATTCGCGTTCTAACCACTGAGCCATCTCACAGCCCCCCAACCCGGAGAACCAGGGGACCGTGGTGGTCAGACCAGCATCTACTGACCAACATAGTATAAGGCTCCGTGAGTGTCGTATGTGAGCTTCATAGTATGGCCAAATGAGGTATGGAGGTACACAAGCTATCTCCTCATGACAGCAATTGTACTTGAACTGATACTATCCGAAAGTGCTTCGTACTGGTGCAGGTATTCAGTTAGAGGGTAAGGCTTCCAAGGCGCATCAGCGTCTGGTCTTGACCGTCCAAAGCGGAGCGCTATTGTCGAACCATGTTTACAAAGCTATGGATAGCTTACAACACGTTAGCAATGATGCAGTTCTCATTGCACATTGTTTTTCGTTACTACGCGCTGTAATTGCAAAATCAACTAGTCTGAAAAATGGGGTCTCTATTCTCAAAACCCCATAAATTATTTGTTGTTACAAGACCATCAATCATGGAAATTTCACACAATTTAGGTCAGTTAGGACAGGGTGCAGTCAAGATCATAAACCCAAAGAAGTTTGCGAAAAGTGTACAATCACACCAGTGAACGACACAGCTTTATCAAACCCGACAAGAGCAGACTGAACTTACGTGATTCCTAGCCGATGTGAATTTACAATTGCCGTCATCGTGCGCAAGGCGCATGCCTTGATGCCGGTGTACTGTCCATCAGGGAGTTCCAGCACTTCAACGAGCTCATCCAGGAGACTCGGATAGAGGTGACGCTCGTCCACATCAAAGGTGTATGCTGCGCAAATAAAGCAATCCGTTACATACGAAACAGCTCCAGAGAAACATGCGAAAGGCGGACTACTCGGATTTCTTTTATAAAGTATTTTCGTGCATGTTACCTGTCAGTTGAGGCACACCTGACGCTCAGAGGTTCACAATCGAAATCTTATAGCCTCAGTATATGCCTATTTTGTCTTCTGGCCCTACAACACAACAATGGAGATTAAGTTGTAAACCCGTCCGAAAGTGAACATATATGGGGAATTTGGTTGTTGGTCTGTTCGCCGAGCTTGGCAGTTGGGTTGCAAACGTTTCATCACCAATCGAGGTGACATCGTCAGTGCAGGGTTGAGTGGGTCTCACTCAACCCTGCACCGACGATGTCACCTCGATTGGTGATGAAACGTTTGCAACCCAACTGCCAAGCTCGGCGAACAGACCAACAACCAAACAGCGCACCCGAGCCACCTACATTCCACAGCATTGCTAATATATGGGGAATTTTTACAGGCTAACCACCAACGGACCGAGGCGCAGCTGTCGGAATAGCCTCAGGGCTATAATCTGGTCTCGTATCAGTTGTAAGCCGGGTAGAAAAAGCCATCTGGGGACATCACAACTGTAACCAAAAGCGCATTACATTACAAGAACGCATTACATTTCATCACCAGTCAGTGCATGATTTTACCAGGGAACATCGTAGTAGGATGCATCTGAGGACGGATTATACTTAAGCAGCGAACACAAGATGAAATGAAGAGCGGGCAAGGCCAATCGGAAATTAGCTTTAAGGTTTGAGGCAATGGCGTTCAAAATCGCCTCGTCCAGTGGCGGTGTCCTTCCAGAAGTTACATGCAATGCGGTCCCAATGAATTATGAAGTATCGCAGACCCAGAGAGCAGCGGTCGAAGGACCTCTTAATCACCTTGCCCTTCTGCAGCTAGTACATTGGACAAGATTAGGCTAGCTTTGTAACACTATATCTACCATTGCTCCCAATTTATCGAGCTCCACTAGCAATGACGCTGCACTATTCAGCAACAGCGGTTTCTCCGTAACATTATTGCTAGGTTAACTTAGACTCGGTAGACGGTCGTACTGAGCGCGACATACCACAGTTACAGGTGACGAGCGGTTGTGCAGAAGCGACGTAAGGCTCGATAAGCATCGGAAGGTCGGTAAGCAGTTACCTCGGTTTCTTTGAATATTTACCCTCCGTTACACATCTCCTCTGGCTAAGCAGCGAAAGTCGAGCATTTTTCATAGTTGCCGGCGACTACCCTGAACATGTTTACATGAAATCGGAGCTTTTAGGTGAAAGGGGTCACGTATGGGACTCCCATTGGTCGAAACAGTCCTAAAATAAATGAGGATAAGACGCCTGTTGAGATACGTATGTCGCTCATCCGAAAGATTATTTAGGCACGTGATGGAAACGCTAGGCCGAGTTCTGTGGTGCTACATGAACAACGTTCATAAACGGAGGGATGGCAAGTCCCCTAGGAGTCAGCATACCAGAACATTTAACGTCCTGTCATATAGGTCCGTATGTGGTAATCCCAGCCAATATGTTGAGTCCGGTATAATGAAGGAATTCGTGCAAGGCAAACCGTACTTGCGGCAGCACCGAATCAGGTCATACATAACGACCATATGCCCAATACCACCTGCGTCAAAACCATAGCATCAACCGAACTAATCATCATCACCGAACTAATACTTACACAAAATGGACAGGGCCTGAAGTCTAGCTCGGATGCATTTGTGGCGCTGTTCAGGAATGGCAAAATACGTAGCCAAACGTATTCTAGCAAACAAGGCCATTTGTTTTGACGGAGGTAAGAGGTGTTGTGACAGTAGCTCCTCCATTATTTGCGATGGAGACTGATTGCGACGATGCAGTGCACGCAGTACTATCTTTTTAGGTGCTGTCCATTCCACGTTTCCACACCCATCGGTATGTTCTGCGATGTCACCCGACGGAGTGGTTTCCGTTTCTAATTGACTTGGAGGATTGCCGCCGATAAAAGAGCCGTCTTTTGAATCCGGTCGGTATTCGAAGTATATGTTACCAGCTGTTTCTGGGAACTGGAAGGGTTAGAAAAGTGAACCAAACCTACATGATCTGGATCGCAACATGCGGCAAGACCGAAGTTGTTTTCTGAACCTCCCCATGTCTAGAAAAAGAATGTGAAACCCAAAACCTGGTTGTACCTCTGCTATGGATACTAAACGTTCCAGTATCATCTTTTTATTGTGATGATCCATTCTTACAAAATAATTGCTCCGTTTGCTACTACGATAAATTGTATCAGGTTTACACATTACCTGAAATTGTACGCCAATCCAAGAACAGCCAGCAGTATATCCATATTCTCAGAGCCGAAAAGGGCAAGTATATGGTTCCAAGACCCGTAGAGATAGCGATATATACTGTGCTCTATCAGATGGCCTGTAAACTCGAGGATGGTGACAACGTCATCCACCAGCGATGCATTTTCAGGCAGATCTAGTCGCAACATCCACCTCCCAACCTTAGTAACCGCGTGTTCGAGAATAGCATCTAGGCGATCCAATACGTCTACCCACAAACCAAGTTCACATTTCCCGTAGTTCCAGACACTGATCTGCTTCAATTCCGAGATAAGGGTGTCGTCCGGACATGCAGCAAGCCGCTTCGCCAGGAGCATACACTCATTCTGATCATAACCACACCTGTTGACAATTTTCCTCCTATCGATTTTCATTTATTATGGAGACTATTCAATACAGCGATATAGATTCATTGAAGAAGTGTCGAATATCATCCGGTGGAGAACCCTTTGTCTGTAAACAAGCCTTCTAACGCGGAATTGAACTTTCAGAACGGTGTACAGTGGCACCGAAACCAGAAGCAAACCACGCGCCCTCGGGGAATTTCACCACCAGTTCAATCCATGCGTCTCGTGGTTCTCCAAGATCTCCGAGCATCCCGGGTCCCAGCGGATCCAGAACAGCAGCACTGTTAGTGCGAAGCACATCTGAAAGCATATGAGCTTGTATTTTTTAATTTGTTTCTTGTCCTTTTCTTCCCTTCTTGTTATCTCCTTTCTTTAACCATTTTGCATTTTCCATGTGACAATGACAAAGAGATGTGAAATCCAAAAACGAATTGGAGGCTTCAAATAGCTTAGAGATAGTACCAGGCTCTCGGACGGGCAGATATAACCAACAAAGCATCATCAAACACTAGTAGCCTAGTATTTCTCTACTGAACGCGCTACCGCATTATGTTGGGTTGAATTATCGAACCAGAGTTGTTTTCTTGTCTGGGAACGGTGACGCCTTCTTGGGATTCTCCCGAAGTCGATAACCCTAGGACAAGTGAGATTCTTCTATGTGTGCCAGTCAACTGCGACTGTGGAAGACTGAATGTCGTCTATGCTTCGCATGCCGTTGAAGGTTGGATAGGTGCGGGGTGGATGACGGGCATTGTTTAAGACCATGAGTTGGAAACGGATCACTCCTGAACCTTCTATGTTTCAAGCCGAACCACCCAAAAACGTTCAGTCTTCTTATTATTTTGGCGTTTATTATCACCCAAGATTGTTCTGGTTGCGTTCGCTTGGCGTCTTTTTAACCGTGTTTGGCCTGATTGCACTTCGCGGGAGCTCAGTCTTCGCACAATGGAACTAGATGTTCAGAAGCCACGACATGTCCCTGATGGGCTAAAGCGGACGGGTATCTGGGTTCAGGATACCAGTCAAAGCTCTTGAGCTCCATCTAGGCATCCGGGGGTCTCGGTGATATTAGAAAAGTAGTCCGCCAGATTATTCTACAAGCGTTATATATGTTCCAGTGTACAATGAAATTTGGTGACCTGAAAAAACTTGAACGCAGATCGGAATGTGTTGCGGTTTGAGCACATAGGCAACAAATTGCAGCGTTTCGGCGCAAAAAGATTTCTTCGACCAGCTAAAGGTTTTGTAGCTAAGAGCATTGTGCTTTTAATGAACCACAATTTTAGTGGGACTCTACAGCGTCTTTTGCAAAACTTTCCAAGCTACTCGGATAAAGTGTATCTATAATACGCGTAATTGAAGAATACAACACCGATAACGAGCACCTGGCCAATAAGAAACCTTCGATGACCTAAAGGGCAATACTTCGCGGGGGAATCACCACATTCGACAAAAGGAATCATATCGAATGCCATAATTTCCGACTTCTCAGAAGCAAATGATAGAGTCCCTCACGTTCAGCTGCCCCACACACTCAAACCTAACGAAATTCAAGAAAAAAGCCCACACTGGAACAAGGCGTTCCTATCAGATGGATCATTATGAGTGATAATAGGCTTGACCTGCTCTTCTCCTGCGCCTGTCTCCAGTAGAGTCACTCAAGGCTCCGTTTTAGGACCACTGTTGTTGCTGATATAAGTCTACGACCTTCAAGATGCACTTCCGAGTCCATGTCTACATTTTGAGAGCCAACATTGAGCCAGCCTCGTGAACATTGTGGACAATGGTCCTGTATAGGTCTTCCAATAAAGTTGGTCCCACTTCAACTTTTCAAGAAAGATACGCATTCCTGAAAAGTCTGCACGCCAGAAGTTGCGAATTCAAGTATGAGGTTCGGGACTTCTCGCCCAATAGCAAAGGAGATCGAAGGTCAGCACACAGTGTACGTTATGACCCAGTGGAGCGTAAATTATCACCTGGTCAACGAAGTGTCTTTCGTTGTTGATGGCTCAATCGAGGAGGAATGATTTTTGGCCAAGGGTTCTTGCAAGTCCAAGTCTACTTTTTGTGGGCGACTTGAAATACTGGAGTTCTAATGCCAGTGCCCTCCAAATGGGTGTAGACGTTGCAAAGAAGTGGTCGTTGGGGTGGCGCCTCCCTCCGAATGACAAAAGAATGTCCATATGACATTTGGAGGAGACTCAGCGAATGCTTTTGTCATGCATGATGAGAAAGGGCCAGGAAACATCATGAGGATAGACGCCAAAAAGGATTTGGGTATCTGGCTCTCTTAAAACTTGTCATCCTCACTGCACCATGAGAAATCGGCCCAAAAGGCACCGGCTGTTCTGCGGATCTTCTCCCGTATTACTCGCTAGGACTTCCAAATACTCTATGGGGCCTACGTCAGACCGTTTCTTGAATGTGCCAAACATATTGTCTACTCAGGGGGCAAGAATGATGGGACCCTCATTGAGAGCGTCCAGCTGCTACGAAACAGAGTCACTGACCTTTAACGTGTTAGATATTTTAAAATCATCAGCGAACAGAAAAGGGGATCCATGGGTGATCGAATCAGTGACGTTATTATTGTATATTAAGAACAGTAGGGGGTCAAACACACCACTCCGAATAATTCCACTGATAGCGGGAGGAGGTAATGAAAAGAGACCCCAATCTTGGTGAGATGGGTTCTCCCTGTGAGGTAAGAGGTGAAACATCGCAATAGTGGGTCACCAATCCTCGTAAATCACGATTTGTTGAGGAGTGCACCGTAAACGACTTGGTCGAACGCCTTGCAAATATCCAAATAAATAAGAATAATGCATAACTCGGCATCGTGGGCGGACAAAATATGGTTAAAGGAATCAATCTGACATGTGTTAGCCGACCGCCTAGGAACAAACCCATACTGCCAGTTGTTAAGGGTCTTGGCAGCGAAAAGGTAGTCCATGGCAGAGACTTTGATAAGGCGGCCTGGGATACGGGAGAGCAAGCTGGTAGGTTGGATACCACGATAGCTAGCTGGAGCAGTTCGTGGGCCTGACCTATAGTGTAGAACAATGTTAAAGTGTTTCCACCGACTTATGACTATTCAAATGACAATGGAGATACTGAAGAAACTAAAGTTAAGGTTGAGGTTGTCCGTGCCACCAGCTTTCAAGATGAGCGAAGGGATAACACTAGTGCTTGAGAACTTGCCGCCTCTAAGGCAGACGTTTCAGGAAGTTAAATGAGACGGAGTAACTGGGAGCATGCAGCGTAGGACTGGTCTCGTTGACAGATGTGGTTACTTCGTAACCAGACGGAGAGCAGTGTGTAGATCGGGTCGACGTGAATGGAACATAGCTGGTGAAGTAAACGTTTAGGGATTCGACAATGCCAGGAGAGTTTAAAAGAGGCTTGCCGTCACTGGCCACAATAATAGAAATTGCAAATGAATTTGAGAAGCAAAGCCTGTGAAATAGGCGCTCCAGCTCCAAGGGCTAGTTTGGAAGTGTTAATCTCAGTCATAAGCTTGTTAATAAGAATAAGGAGAGAGAGGTCGTGGGAAGAGCCTACAGTGAATACTCGTCTGTCTGAACGGCAACCAGAGGTAAGGAAGAACTTGAGCTGTCCTCTCTAACCACAGCATTGTGCCCGGGCAGATTAAAAACCGTAGCTTTCAAACTAACATTCAATCTTTTCAGCGTGATGGAGTTCGGAGATGACGAAGATAGGTGTTCAAGGGCAGACGTGAAGGGCTCACGGTCATGAGTCTGAGACAGCCGAGAGACAGGTTGGTGCTACGCGATGTCACCTGTCAGCGTCCTTCCTTTTGTCCAGGACTTGGTTTTAATATTATAATGAATACTGGTATTTGTTGATTGCAAGTTTAATCTTTGTTCGTGGTTTCATTGGAAGGTTGCAGGCCGTTGTCCTCATGAGTAACCCAATGAGCCGAAGTGGATATCAGTCCCATGTGCACACTTGAGAGCCCTCAGAAACTCGCGAGCCATCCTTATCTAACATTCTTCTCTCGCACTTCCTTGCAACTGTAGGATTCTCCTGAGAGTTTTGTTGATCCCTTGGCCTGCTTTTTTGTTTGATTTTATTGCGTAATACGTAGTAATCAAACAAAGCCTTCGCCTGGTTTGTACAGTCCGGTGTTTTCGTGACGACTGTCGGGAGGCTCTTGACCATTGGCAGAATAGCATCTGTTTCTCCTTCAAGTTGAGCATTGCATCCCCTTAGCATCAAAGATGGTTTCTAGCGTCTCGTCGCTTGTCACAACTGAGACGTTGGTTTGACAGCGTTGTGGTTGGGTTTCCTCACCGAGTGTATTGGACTACTTTGCTGCTTCTAAGCTGGCATGGTACTCCATTTTCGTGGCATAAATGAGGCTGAAGTTGAGTCCTTCAGATGGGGTGTCCTTTCCGGCAGTGTGAACGGTTTAATGAAAATATCCTTGATCCACGCATTGTTGAGATTGTTTTTACTTCCATGGTTTGATGGTCATTCCTGATGATTTGCTTCATAATATGGACCTCTTTTTATCGCCACTGAGGTTCTTCTCGGTGCCACAAGAATTCAGGTCTTATTGTTCTTAGGCGAAAATCCATTATT